GTATGTTGTAGAAAATATTCTATGAAAAAAAAGTTGTTACACGAAATTTACTTAGTCTCAATTTCTTAAATGTATAAATGCTAAGGCTCAGCCAATTTTCAGTTTAAGAAAAAACCAGTTGATAAGTTTTGAAGCTTGAGTCATGAACAATTAAACTTATCGGTTAAATTTCTTAAAATGAGATAATTTTTTTTTGTTTTAGTATTTTGAAGTTGACCAATTGTTATTGTAAGCAATTAATGATTATAGATTATCTGCACCGTATTTTATTAATAACCTCTCCTAATTTTTTTCTAAAAGAAGGAATAAGTCCTGAAAATCTGTGCCTCAAATTTGCTGAGCAAAAAAGGTTAATTATTAAGGTTTGTGGCTAATTTTATTAATATATAGAATTTCGATGTTGATCTCCAAAAAATTTCGGAAAATACACTTTCCAATCGTTTAGTGTTGGACTACTATATTCAGAGCCGACTATACATATCCCTTAATAAAATTCTTTAAGTACATATTTGGTTTTGTACTATGTAGTACGTTCTATCCTTTAACAGTTAATTAGAACCCAGGGTTGAACATTTGATTTGAAAAACAGTATTCTTTAAAAAATAATAATACGAGTTGATCATTTTCAACTCGAATACAATCTTAACTAACCAACCCTCATTTTTACCCATTCGTGAATAAAAATCTTTGATAATAATAAAATAATAATGATATTATTGTCAGTCATAAATTGATAAAAAAAATTTCCCAACAATGAAATTCACAATTGAATTTTGGTAATCGTGGCGTTGCAAAAAAAAAATATAAAAAGTTAATCTATTGTTGTTTAATTTGGCTTCTTTTTTTTTTGAAAAATTTTTTTTTTTCAATATAATATAATGAATACGAATTACGCACCACCTGGAAGAGGTTCTACCCTTCGAAGGGGTAAAACTTTAACTAGACCTGAACGTCAACAACCTATTACACCACTTTTAACAGGGAAAAAAGAAAGAAAACCTTTAGATCCCTGGGTAATATTTTCTCGTGTTGTCACCATTTGGGCTCCAAACATTGCCCTATCAAAAATTGGCGGACTTCATGATAAAATGTCTCAACAAGCTTGGAGAGAGAAGGTCGCTTTATGTTTTATTGCTATTATTATGGGCGCAATTGTAGCCTTTTTAACTATAGGTTTTAGGCCTACTTTATGTCCAGAAGATCAAGCCAATAATGCTGAAACATACTTACCTTATGGGGTTACTAGTGGTAATTATTGTATTATTTTTTTAATTATAAAAATTATTATTATTGTAGTTTTGAATTTTTTTATTTTTTAATTAAAAAAATTTTGATTTATTTATATATACATATAATAATATAGGGTTGGGAATTTTAGGATGGCATTTTGACATCTCGAAAGCAAGAATCAATGAAATAAATTTTATCGAACTTTCAGCTAAACAGCCAGGATTAGATATCACTCCACTTTTTAAACGCGATGTTAGTCAAATACCAAGTTGTTCAAATCCTTCGATCCAAAAATTTGCTGCCGTTACAACTCCATTATGTAATGTTACTGTAAATAATAATTGTCCACTTCGACCACTTGCTCAAGCAGCTACCGCATATAACTTATATAATACAAGCAAATTGGTTGGTTTTGATTGGAAGCAATTGGGTAACCTTACTAACTATATAGTCCTTGATGGAAAAGTACTCAATTTCGATTCTTACTTTAACGCCCATCCACAACCAATTGCCGATGATTTACTTGATGCTATCATTCGAAATACTAAAAATAATTCTCATCCTTCGGGTGGTAAAGACGCTACTCGCTTATTTTATAAAACAAGCGAAACAAAAGATGCAATGAATTGTCTCCAAGATAAATACTATGCCGGTCACATAGACAAAGAAACTATTGGTTGTTTCACATCAGATCTGTTTAATTTTATCATGTTGGTGATCATTTTGGGTGTGGTTATGGCCAAATTTATAATGGCTTGTATATTCAATTGGTTCTTGTCTCATCTGCTTGCTCTTGAACCAAAAAAAGAAAAGAAGGCTGTAATATCTCCGCAAGTTCTTTCTGGCGGTTATGCAAAAAAACATCCCGCTCCATGGGCCCATAAGAATGATTCTGGTTCTGTAGTTAAAACAATTGGTAAAGATGAGATTGGGAATGATCTTTTCACTGTATTGCTTATAACTTGCTATTCTGAGGGTGAAGACGGCATTCGTATCACATGTGAATCGATGGCTGGGACTGATTATCCTGATGATCGTAAATTGTTATTTTTAGTTTGTGATGGCATAATTACTGGTAGTGGGAATGAAAAAAGTACACCGGATATTTGTGTTAATCTAATGGAAATTGAACAAGGTTTTGAAGATCCAAATCCTCAAAGTTATATTGCTATCGCTGCTGGAAATAAACAGCACAATATGGCAAAAGTTTACGCGGGATATTTTCGTGAGTCTATATTTTAATATTTTTGATATTAAATATTTTTTTTTTAGCATAAATTTTCATAAATTTTTACATACATATACATATATAGCATATGAAAATCATCGTGTTCCAATGATTGTTGTTGTTAAATGTGGTAATCCAGATGAACAAAATTCGCCAAAACCTGGGAATCGAGGAAAAAGAGATTCTCAATTGATATTAATGAGTTTCTTTAGTAGAGTTACCTACAATGATCGTATGTGTGCTTTAGATTATGATTTGTTTGGAAAAATTCATCATCTGATGGGCGTGACTCCAGATTTTTTTGAATTGGTTTTGATGGTTTGTTGAAACACACAAATATTTCCCTTTTATTTATTTATTTTATTTTTCGCTCTTAACATAAAATGGTTTTACTTCCCCATTTTAAAAAAAAGGTGGACGCTGATACAAAAGTTTATTCAGATTCTCTAAGACTTTTGGTTAACTGTATGTGTAACGACCAATTAATTATGGGTCTATGTGGCGAAACTAAAATTGGCAACAAACGTGATTCATGGGTCACTGCAATTCAAGTATTTGAATATTATATATCGCATCATTTGGGTAAAGGTTTTGAATCAGTATTTGGTGGTGTGACATGTTTGCCAGGTTGTTTTTGTATGTATCGTTTCAAAGCTCGTAAAGGTGATAATGACTGGGTTCCTATCATAGCAAATCCAGAAATCGTGCAAGAATATAGTCAAAATGAGGTCAATACACTTCATCAAAAGAATTTATTATTATTAGGAGAAGATCGTTTTTTGACAACTCTTATGCTTAGACATTTTCCTAATCGTAAAATGACATTTTGCCCTCAAGCTATTTGTAAAACAATTGTGCCAGATGAATTTAAAGTTTTATTATCTCAACGTCGTAGGTGGATCAATTCAACAATTCATAATTTAATGGAACTTGTTTTAGTTAGAAATCTTTGTGGAACTTTTTGTTTCTCAATGCAATTTGTGGTTTTCATGGAATTACAAGGAACAATTGTGCTGCCTGTTGCCATCATGTTAACTTTCACACTGATCATCTCATCAATCTTAAATCCGCCACATGATTTTGCTGAATCAATACCTTTATTGATGTTGGCTGCTATACTAGGTCTACCAGCTATATTAATTTTAATTACTACTCGTAAACTTGTTTATATTGCTTGGATGTTGATTTACTTGTTAGCTTTGCCAATTTGGAATTTTGTTTTACCAACTTATGCTTATTGGCATTTTGATGATTTTTCATGGGGCGAAACTAGGTTCGTATTATAATAGTATTAATATAGTAATTAAGAAATATTAATTTTTACAATTTTTATTATGAAAAATTTAGAAAAGTTGAAGGTGAAAGTAAAGGAGATGATCATGGTAAAAAGGAGGGACAATTTGACAGATCGAAAGTTCCGTTGAAAAGATGGGAAGATTGGGAGCGTACTAGAATTCGTAGAATTAAACGCAAAGAACGTCAACGACAACAATTAGAAAGTGGCTCCATACATTTAACACATCTAAGTATGGCCAGTGAAGAGGATGTTAGTTTAATTCCTCCAAATTCATCACATTACGACGATGATGAAACATCATCAATCAAGTCAGGTGCAACACATGATCTCGGTCCACAACAACAATATTATGAATATTCTGGTAGTGGTGGTGGTGGCGGTAGCGGCAGTCTCTCACAAGCATACGGTGATGGAAACCAAGAATATGAACAACAACCACCATCATCACAACCACAATATCAGCAGCAGCAGCAACAACAACAAATTGACGATTTGTTATTTGACAATAATAATGATAATAATCGCCAACGATAAAAAATATTTATTTATTAATTTTCATAAAAACATTTGTATATACGTATGTTATTTTAGATTATTTATTCCTTTATTTACTACACCTCCTTTTCCTCTAGTAGATGAAGGTATTGGTGATGATGATGATGATGATGATGATGATGATAACGACAACGTTCGCTTTTCATTTTCATTTGTTGCTTCATTATCAGAGATTGCACTTATTTTTTCCAAATATTTTTCTTTTTGATTGTTTTTACATTTTAACGGTGAATTCTTTAAAGCATATAATTTATGAAATGTTTCTAATGTTTCAGATGACTTAAATTTTTTTTATAATTATTGTATATTTTAGTAAACAAATGTTAAGAATAATATTTTTCCAACAATTTTATTCCGACTTACATCATAATCATAATATTTCATTTTTTTCCATTTTTCTTCATCGTTAAATCGTTGTGCATTTGTACGAACATTTTTCTTTATTGATGATTTTTCTGTATTTGTTTCTGTGTTTTTCCCCTTAAAAATCATTTATAATGAAGACTAACAATTTAGAATGAATGTGTATTTATATATATATATGAGATTCACTATTGTTACTAAGTAACCTTAACTTTTCCTGTAATTTTTGTTTTGCTTGATCCGATAATAAATTCATCAGTTGATTGTTTGTTTCCTCCGTTAATGCTTCCAAATTCATTATTGGTATCTTCTTCCTCCATAGCTTGAGCTTTTTTATTAGCATTTTTTTGTTTCTCGTCTATTTTATCTAAATATTTTAATCCTGGACGTAATTGAAAAGTTGAACGAATAGGCGTCAAATGAAGATTGCCTAATTGAAGAGAATATAGTTAATTAATTGGTTACAATATTGATCAATTAATCATAAGAATAAATAATCATCACCATCTTTAACTACCCCCATCCAGTAATTGGCTTGTTGAGGAACAATTGTAGATTGTAAAGTTTGTCGATCTAATAATCCTTCACTTTGATCTCGGCGCCATGTTCTATCATATATTGTTTTTGCTTCTTTATCATTAAGCCCTAATGCTAAATCCTTTCCTCTTTCATGATCATACCATTTTGAATTTGTTTGAAGTGGAATGTCCAATTCTAATTTTACAGAATCCTGTTTAAACCGTGCTTCACAAGGAGCATTGATTCCAGTGTAAGGATTATTATGTGGTCTCACAGGATGCTGGACTATGTATAAATTATTACTAAGTTGTTGCGATAAAAAAATAGGAATCTCTTGTACAATGTCATTAGAATCAAGATTCGGTTCACTCATATTCAAAAATTGTTGAATTTTTTGTTATTACATATCCGCCAATTTGCGCACCCATTTTGGGGTACAAAAATATGGAAAACAATAATCTGGGGATCATATAGAAATTTTCCTAATCGGGAATAAATTTTTTAATTTTGAAAAAAAAATTATTATTTAAAATTTTAATAACTTCCTTTATTTGTAGAAGAATTTGTAATTTTTCCATTCCCCTCTACTATTTTTGTTTCCTTTCATACCACCTTTACCTCAAAATTAACAATGTCAATGTAGGCAAATTGATTATTATCAAAATGTCTAATTGACCAACCCTCATCACCAAGTAAATTTTCTAACCTTTTGTTACCTTCTTCTCCAATGAATGAACTTATGTACAACCTTCTAGCAGGGTAATATCTTTCCAAATCATTTTTAAAAACGCCTAAAAACATACCCTCACTACATGAAATAGTTAATGCTTTTTTCCCTAAACTTTTGTGATGTAATGTCAATTTTTTTTTAATATTGTAAATTAAACTTTCTTTAAATTGTGTCAAGTAGTATTGAACAAGAGAAGGAATATCCACAATATTCAAAGTGTTTTTTCTTTTCATGTTGTACTGAACCATTTTTTGTTTTATATGATTTATTGCATATGATGCAATTTTCCAAGTTGTTGTTATCATCATCATTATTGTTTTCTTGATTAAAATTTAAAAATTTTTTGATTCATAATTGTTAGTTAAAAAAATTATTATATTAAAAAATTTAAAACCTATATTTATAATTCCACCTACAGTTTGTACATGAAAATGAATTTGCAATTCACATGTACAAAATCCAAATTAGCCCATCAGAATTTCACCTCACTCCAAAAAATTAAATGAATTTGTCATATTGCCATAAATATTCAAATCCTATGATTTTTTTATTATTAGTTTATAATCTTACAGGTTTTTTTATTTAATTTTATAATCTTATGATTTTTATCTTTTTTTTTGATTCTTTTTAACATCAGGAAATTTTGAAAGTGTTTATCCATGCTAATAAATGCATTAACCAACACCAGGCTAATGATCACTGTGTAATGATGTTGATAAACTTATTTCAATGCTAAAGGGTCTGTTGATTAAAAATGGAAATAATAAAATCCAATTACCAGGACATAAGTATCTGCCTTTGTTCTTTATGATTCCATTAACTCATTGGGTTCCAGATGAATTACATTTAATGCTTCATATTACTGTCTGACTTTGGAGTCTAATGTTATCTGAAACAAAATACCAAAGTTCTGATCAAATAAGGGAACAAATAAAAAAGAAATGATCAGAATTGGTGTACATTTTGAATTCTGGCAAAGTACAGATTCAAGGAATCGGAATTGTACCAGTCTTATGGATGAAGATAAATTAAAAGTTCTAAAAAATTATAATTTGGAAAGTGTTTTACCTGAAAATAGAGCATTAATTATTCATCAATTGTGGTATGACTTTGATGATCTTTATACAGCCTTACAAGATCTTACAACAAATCCAATTGTTTTCAAAAGTCAAGCAAAATTATGATTGACTAAATTTCTAACACCATCAACTTGAGATCCACATAAAAAAAATTATATAAAAGGATTATATACAAATAATGATGGGACTCCTTATATCTATGTGTTGATTCATCATATGTATGATATTTATGGTGATTTGCCATGATTATAGAATTAAAGCATTTACATGCAGTCCTGTTGAAAAAAAAAATCTTATACAAATAAGTAAATATTTTAGAAAAGTATTGAAAGATGGTGGAAGGGAAAAAAAAACTGTAATTGAAATTTTGGAACATGAGAATCATCTTTTATATTATAATTATAATCAATTAATAAAGTGCCAAAAAAATAACTATAAATTAGATTACCTTTTTACAATTAATTGCATATATATTTTTTTAATTTCTAAAATATATTTTAATTAATTAATTATTTTCATTATTAAAAATATTAAATTAATAAAAAAAAAATTTAAACTTTTGTCATCTTAAATTTTCATCTTCAACAAATAAAACCGTCCAACAGGTGGATATCTTTGAGTGTTGTCTTTAAAAACAATTAGGAATATACCCTCATCACATGGAAAGGTAAATGATTTTTTTCCCTAAACTTTATGATGAAATCTCATTAAAAATTAATGATCCTTTAAATTATGAAAAACAATATTCAGAAGGGTGATAACATTTAAAGTATACTTGTGAAAATTGGAATGTTTTGTGCTTTGTGTTGATTTAAACCATTCTTTTGAGTTATATAAATTGTTGCATATGTCTGAGTTACTACTATGTTCAATATTCATTACTACAATATAAAATTTTAAAAAAAATTAGCAAATTACAAAATTACAAAATAAAATTTCCTTCAACTAACTACTTGCAATCCTGCAAGATCCTACTCACTGTATATGTATATATAAAAAAGCGATTGGTTTACTAATAAAAGTGATTGGTTTGGTATTAGTAGAATTCAAAAAGAATGTAATTTACTCCAAAAATAACAAATCGAGGGGCTGGTTACACATATCAAGACAGCAAAAAATGTACCAAAATTTTCAAAATATACCCCAAAAACAGTATAAAATGGTGTAACCTTTCAGAGATCGGTGGATATGAAAAATAAATTTTTTTCTAAATACATATTAATATTATTATTATGATGAAATTTTATGCAAAGAAATAAAAAGTAAAACTTAATAAAATGTATATAAAAATAATTATGGTTAATTTAATTGAATGATATTCTATATACAGATACACAAAAATCTTTCTCCATAATATATAAATGAATAGAAAATAGAATTGATTGATTGGTTGAGGAATAATCACGCACATATATTAATAGTATATGTATGCTAAAGTATATTCAAATTTTTTATTATTGATTATCATTTTAAAGTTTGATTGGTTTTGCTACAATTAAGGGAGGATTAGAGAAAGATAAAGGTGAGGAAGGAAAATAACGAGGAGTTTTGATATTTAAATCAGTAAAAAATTTGAAAGTTTTTAAAAAATATATATTAATTAAAAATTCTAAACAATAGAAAAATCCCACCAATGAAAAAAATAATAACAAGGAAAATAATATTATATATATATTTATTAAAATATTTTCTATTAAAACCTTTTTTATAATTATCCATACACTTATACTATATATAGATAGTGTCACTGTTCCAACCCACGTGAAATATCAGGTTCTAATGAAGTAATAGAAGATGCAGGTCGTGAATAAGGTGGAGTTGGTGGTAAAACTATGGCGGTGGATGGTGATGATAAGGATGATGAAGCGGACGTTGAGGAAATTGAAAGTTTTGTAATTGTATTTGGTAGGCTAGAATTACTATTAGTAGGCTTCCTAGATGTAATGAGTGTTCTACATAATGGACTAATAATAAAATAATAAATAAATAAATAAATAATAATAATAATAATAATTGAAAATTAAATAATTTAATAATAATAATAATAATAATAATACCAAGAATGCATCATTTTAGCGCATTCAACACAAAATCCATCATGGTTACACGGGCCCAATGTTACTTTAGGAGGCATGGCAAAACAAATTGAACATTGAGCATCATAATCTTCTTCTGTAGCTTCTAATTGTTGCTTCCAATCAGAGTTCGATATTACGGAGCGATAACGTGACGTACGCCAACTTCTCCTTTGTATTGAATCACGTAGCTCTGATGACAATTGACCCTGGCTATTAAATGTTTGATAAAAAAATGATGGTGGTGGTGGGTATCTAAAAAAAAACCAAATAATTTTATTAATAAAGAAAATTTTGTAAAAAACAAAATTCTTTTTTATTGCCATATTTATTTATTTTATTTACCGGAATTTTTCTGCTCCAAAATTTATAATTGCTTGTTGGTATGACGTAAATGAAAGAGCTGGATATAATCCATTTTCAGCCAACTTTCTAAATTGTA